AGCTCACAGCAACGTCTAACTCCTGGGCTTAGGCGATTCTCCTGCCTCAGCCTCCCAAGTAGCTGGGACTACAGGTACTGCCACAACGCCTGGCTATTTTTGTTGCAGATGTCATTGTTGTTTGGCTGCCACAATGCCCTGCTATTTTTTGTTGCAGTTTGGCTGGGGCCAGGCTCGAACCCACCACCCTCAGTATATGGGGCCAGTGCCCTACTCACTGAGCCACAGGCACAGCCTGGAGCAGGGATTCTTAAGCATCTGTCTGGCTTATCAGAATTATAAGAAACCTTGAAAACATATATAGATTTTTGCCTCCCCACATGCCCTCTTCCAGGATTCCCAGGTTGAGGGTGAAGAACAAGGTGGTCTGGAGCCTGTTTTATGACCCCAAACGGCTGGACTTGGGCTGTTCCTATGAAGGCATCAGGGGTTAAACCCAGCTCTCTAAATTCATCTTTCAACCCAAGGAGAGATGGGGGAGGGGATAGTCTTCTCTGGTACTCCGGGACCAGAGGTTATAACCTGACTTAGGTCACGGAGGCTTTTGTGATATGATGACCACTATGGACTTTTTCTCTATGCACATGCAAATTTTCAGCAATAATCTCAGGGGCATAAGAACCTGGGTGCAGCTATGAACCCAAGGTTAAGAAAACCTGCTCTGGAGTCTGAATGCCTCACTGAGCAAGAAGAAAGCTGGAGAGTGTGCATGAGGAATGCACTAGAGCCACCAAATCCTGGTGGGGCAACAGCGGCCAGCGTGCCCGGGTAGGTGCAGGCACAGCGGTGGTACAGGGCACTTATGAAGAGGGGAGGAGGCCTCTAGTTCCAGCTGGCAGGGACTAGACAGTGGGTCCCACCTTCCAGGCAGGGCTCTGATCAGTTTTGTAGGACCCAGGACAAGGTAGGGAATTGGAATGAAAAGTGGCAATGCCTTTTGAAGCAGTACAGAGTCGTTCTAAAATAACAAATATGTTGGTGTGAACACAACTGGCTCACTAACCTCCAGGCACTTGGAATGGAGTCAAAAGTTGTGACAGAGCCATGCTCAGTTACCGTAGATCAATAATTCTTCACAATAATAGCTCACAATCTGGTTCTTTCCAATCCTCCTGTTCACACTGAGGACAGAACAGCTTCCTGGCTACACTAAAGATTTTAAATTAAGGATTGTCCAGAGTTAATTTGGTGGCATATGGTTTCATACATTTCTTTGAGTACTGATCAGCAGAGTGAGACTCTCTCGAATGCATGCTTCATATTCCTGCTAATACACCAGAGCTGAGTTTTACACTACCCACAAGTCTAACCCTAAATATCATAATAGATGCTCGTTTAAATAACTTTCACAGTGAATTTAAATTTGTCTAAGTTTAAACAATATAGGGTCTGCCTAGAAAAAAAATAACATATAAGTGATGAATATGAAACACATCTGATTAAACTAGTTCCTTCATTAAAAAACAATCCAATAATCACTCTTTTAATATCTGCAGAAAAATTTAAAATTACAAACGAGATAATATTAAAAACGAGTAAGGAACTTTTATAACATTTTAAAAAGAAACACAATTGACATAAAAAGGATAACACAAATAGAGACAAAATAGCTCTGTGGACCAATTACAGGTTTGAAGAAGTTAAATTATGATCCCCCAACAGATGGAAAAGTAGATGATGTGAAGACTGTTAAGACAGGAGCTCAAGTGAGACAAGGCCCTGGAAACAGACGGCAGGGAGATTAAAGAGGCGAAGGGGGGCTCTGACACAGGAGCGCAACTCTGCCTTTAATGGAAGTTGCCCGATTCAGAATTTAAAAGCCTTCATCGTATGCAGTCTAACCCTGGTACATCTGGGCCTTACTACAGCTCAGAATGCACACGAGAGAACAAAGAGGAGGTCTCAGCCGGGTCTCGGCTGCCTGGCCCATAACCCTCTTCAGCTCTTACAGGAAAACGTGGAAGGCACCTGAGTTGCAGGGACCCAAGACCCACTTATTTAGAAACACAAGTTCCCACATAAAAGCTCCACAGAGGGCAGGTGTCTACATGTGCTCTGTGTCTCTGCAGACAGAAGACTGTTTCTGAAGTATGCTACTTCATGCTGACGTCCTACCCTGAGGGGTGGTGTCAAAAAAAGGGAAGATAACTGGGTCTCCCAGAGGCCCAGGAACAGGGTTCCACACTGAGTTACCGAGTCCCAAGACAACGTGCCTCAGCTGGGTAAGAGTGCCCAGGAAATGCCAACCACCTGTAGACAAGTCCTCTGCGCCTGCTAACCACCCTCCTCCAGCTGTGTCCCTGCATAACTCACCTTGCCCCCTTCATTCTACCAGGTCCTGACACAATGAACAGTCACATCAGAAAGATAGTCTACATTCCAGCCTCCTTCAGGTTCTCACATTGGTTTACAAACCTGAACAGCCCAGGAGCCCAACCTTTATAGCCACAGCAGTGTGTCCCAGGAGGGCACTGAGATTTTGCCTCTGGTGGAGGTGCAGATTCATACTCGGGCTCCAGGTGCATGGAAAGCCAAGCGGAGCCCCACTCTCACTGCCCGCTGCTCCATGCCCTAAGATGCCCCCGTGCTAACAGCCCTCCCTGCAGTCTGCGTTGGGGAGAGGGCACAGAGTCAGAGACATGGACACACAGAAGCGACATAGCATGAGGTGGAGGAGTGCGGGAAGCATGGATGCATACGCACGTGTGGCCAGATGAGGATGGCATGCAGTGGAGGGCACGATGGAGGGGCATGGTGAGGAGGGGGCATCGCAGAAGGGGTCCTCCGGTCTGATCCAGTAGGCATGGCTGTTACCTTTCTTGCTGGTGCAGCTGCCCGCACAGGGCAAAACGTCCTCACAGCCCTCGCCGTGCAGGCGCTCCTTCTGCAGCAGCTTATCCACCCGCTGGATGATGCACTCCAAGCTCTTGTCCACGTTCAGCCACACTTTCTCCTTCCAAACCAAAGAGGCCTGTTTGCATGGGCTCTTTCAATGGGAAAAACAAGCAGAACTGCACTCTGCCAATCCCCCAACCTGAGACATGATGTTCAGAGAGTTCAAAATTCCCCATTAAAGTTTTATTTGCTCTTCAAAGATGAATCAATGTCCCACAGTCATTGTTTATAAAGTTTGGAGATGTTTGCTAATAACTGTCATGGAGGCCTGACAGCCTTCCAGTGCTGCCTGAAGGGCACAGGGCACAGAGAATAGCAGTTGTCATTCTCTCCTCCCACTGCTGCAGACCCACAACCATCACAGTGCACAGGGCAGAGGTCTCTTACTGATGTAAGAGAATGGAACACACACAAACACCTGGTAATTTCAGATAGGGAAGGAGAGTGGGGAGGGAGGACTGGGAAGGGTTTGTAGACACCCACACAGACTATAGGATGCCAGGGCTGGAGGACCACTTTGCTGCTGATTAATAATTCAGTGTTCCCACAATGATGCCTCTAAATGGCAGTCCAAACAAATGACAAAAACTAATGTGTCACTCCCTCAAGAGACTCAGATCCTGCTCCCATGGCCAACTGTGAGAGGAACACTAGCATGACACAATGCCAGGGACATCTGCTCCAAAATCACCCAGCTGCCTGAGCACCTGAGCTCCCACATCCCCACCCCCAAACACAAACAGCCCTGGAAGGGCTAACAGCAAACACAGCACTGAGGACGGAAAGGCTGGGCCCAACTCAAGCAGCCAGAGGCCACACAGGGCACAGACAAGGGAAAGGAGAGAAGACCTCTCACAGGGAACGGCTCAGGAGGAAAACCCACCTCCTTTCCAGCCCTCAGCACAGCCCTGCTCCCCATCTATACAAAGGTTTGAAAATAGTTTCTATCCTTGCATCAGGGGCCCAGGAGCTGTCTGGGAAGGAAACCTGGAGCTTGTTCACAAGGAATCAACCTCTTAGGCACCTCAGAGGGGAAGAGACTGGCAAAAGCCTTCACAGTTTGCAGCCCAAGTTCAGCAGCTGCTGGTAGGCCACAGCAGCAGACTCACCCACTCCTCCTCGTGCCAGTCCACCTGCAAGGATGAGCGGCTGTTTCTCCCGGTCCACCTGGCCATGAGAGTGTCCTGGTCATTTCTAAGCATCACCTGCTCCTCCTCCGTTGAGGTGGGGGAGGCCTTGGAGGCGATGTAGTCGGGCCGTGCGGCGTTCAGCCCGTGGATGGAGTTGGCCAGCAGCTTGCAGTCGCAGACGGTGACCAGCTGCCGGGTCTGCAGGCACACACAAACCAGGGCTCAGTGGGGCTGGGAGGTCTGCCTTCTCTCAGAGGAGGAGAATGGGCCTGAGGCACTGTATCCCTTGCTCTTCTCCACAGCACAGAGCAACTACAGAGCGGCATCCCTTAGGATGCTGGAGAACACAGGCAGCCATGTGACCTGACTAGGCTGATTCTTAGCAGGAATTTCCTACCAAGGCTGGAGACCACGCGGGAGATGAGAGGAAGCTGAGACATCTCTGACATTCTTTACCCCACATGCCTTTGGCCTGCTATTGCTAGGAAAAGTGCATCACTTTGGTTCAATCACCGAAGCCTTGTCTATCCATCTATCTAGTCTCACTCTGCTGCCCAGGTTAGAGTGCTGTGGCATCAGCTTCCCTCACAGCAATCTCAAACTCTTGGGTTCAAGTGATGCTGAGGCCTCCCAAGTAACTGGGACTACAGGTGCCCACCACAATGCCTGGCCAATTTTTTCTATTTTTAGCAGAGACAGGATCTCATTTTTGCTCAGGCTAGTCTTGAACTCCTGAGCTCAAGCAGTCCTCCTACCTCAGCCTCCCAGAGTGCTAGGATTATAGGTGGGAGCCACTGCACCTGGCTGAAGCCTTATTTCTGTGCTCCTAAGTACCTAATACCCAAAGTCCTGGACTCTGGTAGCTGGACACCTGGTCCAGCACGGAGGTTTGGGAGAATTCTGTACCTGACAGGGTTTCTGTGCTGCGTAATTTTGTTGCTGACAACTGTATCTTTCTTTTCCAGTGGATCTAATCCCGTCCTCTCAATCTTTTTGCTATGTGAACACATATGACAGGGATAGCACATTCTGGTCAGGAGTAGCAGCTCAATCTAGCAAACTGGGGAGGTGCAATCACCATCTGTGTGTGCACATGCGGGTGCTTCTGAGAGGGAGACTGAGTGACACGAAAAAGCACCATCTAGCAAAAGGGTCTGGTCTGTCCACTCAGTATGGGCCAATTTTTTTTTTTTTTTTGAGACAGAGTCTCATTGTGTAGAGTGATGTGTCATTGTGTAGAGTGATGTGTCACAGCTCACAGCAACTTCAAACTCTTGAGCTTACACAATTCTCTTGCTTCAGCCTCCCAAGTAGCTGGGACTACAGGCACCTGCCACAAGGTCTGGGTATTTTTTGTCGTGGTTGTCATTGTTGTTTGACAGGCCCTAGGCTGGGTTTGAACCTGCCAGCTCTGGTGTATGTGGCATGTGCTCTAGCCACCAGGCTACAGGTGCTGAGCCTTTTTATATATTTTTAAATCAGAATCAAGTTTTGGTTAATTAGAAGCTGCTTTACTGACTATTAGTCAATAAAATTATATTGCTTTTATCTTATGTGTGTGTAACAACTCAGTTTCTTTTTTCATTACACTAGAAGTGTGGTAAAAAATAACTTCCACTAACTAAATAACTTTCTATAGAGAAAGTTGAGGAATTTATCAGCCTCAATAAAGTGAGCCCCAGGGAGCTGCTGGAAGACACACCTGCATGAGCAGAACCTAAGAGTCACATGCCCTGGGTTCTGTCCTTGGCCTATGCAGATCGGTGGCCAGGGCTAAATCCCCATACCTCCCTGAGCCTTTGTGGGAAATGAACCTAAAGACGGGCCTCACGGTCATCCCAATGCCACTCTCTTTGTGGACAGCTCTAGGTACACCTGGCTGCCCTGAGATGTCCAGGGGCTTCCAGAAACCCAAGGGAACCCCCCAGCCCACAAGCAGCAGGGCAGCCCCTCCTACCTTATCTGCCAAGATGGCAAGCGTCCTCTCAAGGCCAGTGGCAGACCTGTCCTTGGCTGCCCTTGAGAGCCGCTCTGCGTAGTAACTAACTTGGGTTTTCAGGGTGTTGATCTGGGCGATGATCTCCTTGGCTCTGACAACGTCCTGTGGTATGTAGATTATGGACTGGCAGCTAGCTGATGTACTAAAAAGGATAAGAATAGATTCTAAGGGGTCCCCTTGAATCTGATGGGGACAACAGCATTACCTCAACCCCAACCACAACTAACCCTAAGATAAAGCATCCTGCTACTTAGGGAAGTTTTCCTAGGGAAGTTAGTGATGGGCAAGAGTAATTCTTAGGAGATCCTTCTTGTCTATATGGTAGAAGCCTGAGATATGACTAGGTCTTTCATCTGTATGCAGTTGCATCTATACTTTCACTGTGGATGTGAATGTGGGCACAGATATGGAACAACTGTACCCAGTAATTACCCAAATGCTCATAATCTTTCTTCTCTGAACCTCATCTGTTAACTTGTAAGCAGTACTTTAGTGGAGACATCGGGGTCTGCTTATAGCAGAAGGATCAGATTATCACAGAGAAGGGAAAGACTGCAGTGGGTGGTGGACTTTGCCCCCCAAAACCAAAATGTGTTTTTTCATTTGGCCAATCAAGAAATCCAGCTTTTTGCAAACACACCCACAGTTCTCCCCCTCACATCTGTGACTTTACTGAGTCCCCAGGAAATTGGGCTTCCTTTCGCTCCTCTCCCTTGCTCCAAGACGTCCCTCCTTTGAAAAGTAACATTCCAAAAGACAAAGAGGAAGTGGAAAATGTATCAAGCCAGTGATGACACCTAGTGCTTCAACGGCTTTGACACCCCGGTTCAGCATTGGTAGCATGTGCTATTCAGGGATATGATGTCAAAGCCACAGCTCCTCCAAAGGACCAACTCCATGTCTCCTGGCTGTGTGGGGCTGGCCAGCATGTCTGGGCCTCCTAAACGGTGATGATAAACCGCATGCCTCTTTGCTTGGATCTTAATTAATCCAACATTATAATTTTTCATACCATCTGAGTAAGCCAAAGAAAGCAGCGGGTGAAGAACAAGCTACCAGTTCAGAGGTCTCATTCTAAAATTTGAAGCTGTGAGCTCTGGGTAGCAAGGGTGTCCCTTTGATCATTGAATGAGGGACCCTGACTGGTTCCAGGAAGAGGAAGAAGGTGGAGGAGAGAGGGTACCTCTTGCCACACCCTCCACTGCTTTCCCTGAAGATGAGGGCCACTCAGTTAGGGCTGAGAACCTTCCCCAGTTGCCCCTTTCCAGGGAACCCTAAAAGTGGGTCATCGGGAAACTGCTGCTGCCCGTTCCCGTGCTGGACTATGGGGCAAACATGCAAAAACCAAAAATCAGAGCACCCCAGAAAGAAACACCACCACAAGTCCATACACCACAATAAAAAAAGATGGATTTGCCAGAAGCCCATGCAGCAGACCACGACCAAGCCTGTGTGGTACGACAAGAGTCATTCCACAGCGTGATGTGCACACCACTGCTTTCCAATCTGCAATCACTCTTCCAAATGAATAGCTGCCATTAAGACAATTTAAAGTCTTTTAAATACAATCTCAAAACAGGATTTTTAAGAATATATTCTTCCCAGGCCCCTACCACTTAGAGTACATATGTAATATGTGCTACATGTAGATCTACTTCTGTGTATGTAGGTGGCTGTGTACACTTCAGCAAGAGAAAAATCTCACCCTCCACTCACCAGTGGTCTTATGAGTCACGTTCTAATAATAGTACCTGGGACTCATGCATAGGGAATATATGGCAGGGGCAATAAAGGGCAAATTTCAAGGAGCTGTTGTCTGAGGATGATCAGGAACATACAAACACATGTTCAGCTACCTAGTGCTAAAAACAAGGCAGCGGCATGGAGGTGGGATGGGGAACTGGACATTTTGCTGCTTTGCAAAACAGACACTCCCAGGAATCTTAACTCCAAGGAAGGAAGACTCCTGGTCCCACTAACTGTGTTGCCACCTCTTCTGGGGATGAACCCCTAAGGCAACCCCAGAAGGCAGCATCCTAGGTATGGCCCTTGGGTCTTGCATTAGGTCCACCCCAGCCCCTGTGACTTAGCGCCACCCAGGGCAGGCTCATGAGCTAACCTGAAGACACCAGATGAGCATAAGTGTTAAGTGTTGTAGTGCTGGCCAGGAATGGCTGGTAGCGGATGAGCAACTGCCATTCAGGACATGGGAAGCAGAGCAGGATAGCCTGTGCAGAGTCTGAGCTCCCAGAGGCAGGAACTCTCTGACTGGGAGTCTCCCCTCACAGGCTCCAGCTACACTGCCTCCTGCTCCTCACCCGTCTCCTTCCTTCCACCCCAACCTGTCTCACAGACCTCTTGTATATGGGAGAAGGGGGTAGAGGGTAGGGGTAACCAGGCCCAGGTTAGCTGTGGAAGGTCCTTAGAAAGAAGCTGAAGAAGGTTAATTCCACAGGAACTTTCCAGACAAAGTTCAACCCAAACCCCCTGGGTTGAGACTTCCTAAGGGGCAGGTCTTGGGGCAGCTGGGCCTTTGGGTCTCCTCGTCCCAGGGTCCATTCCTCCAGCCCTCTAGACTCTACCTCTAAGTACTTTACTTGTCCTGCGGTGGGAAAGTGCAGGCCTTCAAAGAGGCCTCAATAGAGAAAAGGAGGGGAGGGGTGCCTGAGGGCCACTTCCATAGAAGTGGCTGTGGGTTTTCCCCTCCTGAAAGCAGAAGCAGCAGCAACCCTCCCCAAATACCCTTTCTCCCTCCTTCATACCTAAAATATCCCCAGAAGGAAGGGCCTTCTCAGAGCAGAGGTGGAGATGCCTCAGCCTGGGTATGTGGGGGTGTCCACAGGACTTCCTGCGGTCAGATGCCCTGAGCAGAGGCCTGGCACCTCTGGCAGGGCCCAGCTACAGCCTCGGAGCCTCACCAGTCAGTAGCTCTTAGGCAGCAGCATTTCTCGAAGGGCTACAGGTGCCTGCAAATAAAGCACCACTGCAGAGCCCCTGTTTGGGCTTGGGACAGCAGTGGGGACCCCTAGGTGACATGGTGGTTTGTAACTGCCATCTGACTGTCTGGCAGAAAAGTCACCCAATTTTTTGGTTTGTTCTCCACCCCCGGATAAAACTGACCCTAGTAACAGTGCTTCTAAAATCTGCATAAATTATTAAGTACGAAAATGTAGGCTGGCTTCATTCATTCGAGAGGTAATAGTAAAGTAAAAACTGAAAAGCCTCAAGATTCTTGTAAAAGACCGAAAGGGATTCCCAACTGCAGCGATGGGCTGACTTGAGATCCCAACACCTACGGGCTTCCCCAGCCAAGTCTTCTTCATCCTGGGAGAAACTGGGTCCTTTTTCAGAGTGAGTGCAGCAAGAAACTGCTGCCTAGTTTTAAAACTAAAAGAGCAGACTGGAAATAGGCTATTCATTATTAAAGAACATTGCAGTTGGAAGGGAGAACTCCAGTCTCCGCGGCGTATGACTGGAGCCCTCGGCCGGCCCATGGGTGATGCCTACATAGGTGGGGCTGGGGACGGCACAGACTTTCTCTGTGTGAAAGCAAGACCCAGACCCAAACAGACACTCGCTCCACAGACAGAAAACTCACCAACACTCCTCAAAACTGCTAAAGAAAAGAACCAAAATGAAATATTAGCAGTTTGTTAGCAAATACCAAATGCAAAACAAAAAATTAAAAAGCTGTTATATTTTCTGTTGAAATACTTAACATTATTTGTGGAGGCCCCGACACAGGGAGGAGCAAACTGATGAGCCCCATGCGCTTATTTATTAGAGCCGCCTCACTGCCTGCCCTGAAGCCCCAGGCAGATATCCCACCAGGGGGGCAAGTGACCTCTGCATTTAAAGGAAAGTTCAAATGATGAAAACCATACCTGGAAGTGATTTGATGACATGAGTAGGAAATTAAGTGAAAATGTATATGATATATTTGACGTGTTTAGGGAAATGTAAGTTCTGAAGTTAATATGCAGAGTTATCAGGTATCGGCGCCCCAACCTTCCCAGGACAAAGTGACTGGCCACACAGGATGAAAGGGCTTTCTCCTTCAGGGCCCGCTCCATCTCACACGCACACTCACACTCTCCACACGGCAACATGCAACAGAGGGACAGACACACGCTTTCTCGCTGGGTGTGTGGAGCTGTGGTAGGCATGGGAAGTTTCATCATCTTCATGGCTCCCAAAGGAACACTGGAGTCAGTGAATCCTAAGGCAGATCACCAGGTTTGTCTGTGCTGGGACATGACCCTGGTGGGAATGAATTGAGGTGAAGCAGGCTGTCCAGGGAGCCCCTCCCAGGGGACAGTGGAATTCCCCTTCCTAGCCACGGCCCTGCCAGGTTTCTCCTCCCATCTTCAGGGCTTGCTGGGCTCTGGCCTAGCCTGGGGCTGCCTGTGCACACACCTGAATAGTGACTTCTTGGGGTGAACGTTCCCTGAGAACTTTCTCCCTGCTCAGTTGCCCAGCCTTGCCCATGGTCTCTGATGCTCCTAGCTGCATCCCTGACCCCCTCGGCCACTGAGCAACCATCAAACTGACCTTTCACTCCCACTCACCCTGATCCAATCCATGGCCAGTTTTCTCAAGTCGTGTCCCGACCCCTGGCCATGGGGCGCTGAGTCAGGCTTCACCACGAGCACTGGAGCTGCCCTCTGAGCATCCTGGGGATGCTCGTGGCGCTCCCTGAGCCTCTGCTTACCTTCCCGTAAGCCATTCCACTCTCAGTGGATAAGGCCCACCCTCTCCACCCGCCTTCTGTCCATTGACACTTCCACTTGTTCCTTCCTCCAAAAATCTCTGTGGAGCTCTACTTCATTCTCTCATCTCTCTGGATGAGCTCCCTGGTCCTGCTTCTTTCCGTCTTCTTGGAATGCTGCTTGACGATATCTTCTTCCCATTCACCCCACCTCGCCCACTTTCACCTTTCCCACCAGCCTAGATACATGCACAAGTCATAATTCCTCTAACCAAACCTGAGGCCTCAAGCTATGTCCTCTACCTCGTGGTCTTCCCCAGGGCCTCACGAGATCATCTAGGCTTATCACCTCCACTTCATTTAAGTCTTGACAAGTGACATCCTGGAAGACCACCAATACCTCCTGCACACCTAAACAACAACTTGGGGGTATGCGTCTGTCCTTCCTGCCCACAGGGAGGGGCCGGTGCCCAACTCCATGCTCCCAGGCACTTTCCACATGCTTGCCTCAGGCACTGCTCATCCAACAGACATGCACTGACTTGTCTGCTCCCAGGCCAGGCCTACATCTGGTGGCCTGCATCCCTGGTACCCTGGCCACTGTGCATCTGGCCACATCTCCCTGCATGTACTGCTTCTGCCATGTCCTTCTGCCTTGTGCTTGTCAGAAACGCCCCTCCAGGTAGCCCCTTGGATCTTTTAAAAACTAGGCATGTCTACCACTGCTATCTATCGTTTAGGAAAGAAAGAGGTTTCCAGGCTTTATACTTATGGAGTTCAAAAGATTGACCAGGGACACTAAAGGACACTGAGCCAGCAGAGATTCCATGCAGGGTGGCTGCCTGCAGCCCCACTTTAAAGGGAACTACAATTTGCTGTTAGTTTTGCAGGAATGGGACCACCATTCCGGTGCCCTTGTCACTCACCCAACTCAGCCTCTCTCTGCCTTTCTCTCTCTCTTTCTCATATACACACACACACACAGCAGCAGCAGCACAAGGTCCACGGGCAGCCCCTCCAGCCACGCCAAAGCAGATCAGATGGCTGAATATTCTTGCAGTCATGTTCTGATTTTTTTTTAAAGTAGGAAGCAACAGACAGCTGTACAAGGACCACTGACTCCCTTGACTACTTACTGTTTCTTGGTCTCTTCAAATTTGTGCAGCTTTTTGCGGAGACCTCCTGACTTAAAACCCTGGCAATGTGCTGCTGGTGCTCCGATGGTGACGATGTCGTAGTTCTGATCTGAATGACAGAAAGCTCTCCTCCGTTACTCTGGGCTCAGGCCTGTGAACAAGCCAGCTATAGGGATATGCACACATGTGTTGGATCCTACCCCACCTGCCCATTTCCAAGAAGATTTTGGTTCCCTTAACCCCACAGCCTGGGCTGCCCAAGGGCCTGCTGGAGCCCAGCACCATCATCTCAGCAAAAAGGGGTCCTGTGTCTCAAGTGAGAACCACAGGGGCTGCAGGAAACTACCCAACAACACTTGTTTGCATCCCTCCTTGGGAAACCACAGAAACACAAAGGGAAGCTGGAGCGTGGGGAGAGCAGGGAGGGGCTTGGGCTCTTTAGCAGAGACCCCTCAAAGGTCCTCATGATGTGTTTCCTCTCCAAGCTGCCCAGAACACACAGGGAAACCCGGATAGGTAGGGAGCCCTCAGGGACCAAGTACCCAGGGGGAAAAGAATTGAAATGGGATTCAACAAAAGGAGCAGAAAAATAGATACCTGATCCTCCATCGTCTTGAACTCTCATCCTTTGTATGTGCAAATTTGTGGGAACAAATTCTAACTTTTTATCTGCTTTCAAACTGCTTGCTTTAAACGAGGGACCTAAGAAGTGAAATATGAGAAAACAAAGGCCATCAAAATGTTCCTGTATTCCTGGATAGAAAAAAGAAAAATGGTATTCGGAAGATGATGCTGCATGTATGTAGATATGTGTTGGCAGTGGCCTAGAAAATTCTGAGTCGCCCAGGGGCACATTTCATGTTGATGAGAAGGCAGCCTCCTGGCTGGGAGACTGGTTGTGGGTGCTTAGGTGGAGAACAGAGCCAGGGAGAACTAGCATCAGAAGGCTATGTAATGATGCTGCGCCGTCCATGACTCAGCGCTCAGCTGAGAGATTTGACACAAAGATGTGATTTTGTGCAGCACGATGTCAGCACTACTATAAAAAGCAAAGGGGTCCATGCCAGAGACTGCCTATTCCAAATCTAGGGATGGCCATTATCCAAAATCAAAGAAACTGCTTTGGCTAGAACAACATATTTCAATTCTGAAAAGCGATGAAAAGGTTTGCTCATCACCCCCGGTCCATCAGGATCAACAGCAAATGCAATATAGCACTGGTCTAGCCCTCTGCACACAGACCTAACCAAGTCCCTTTGTGCACACCTGGATGGCTAAGGAGTTTAGACAACGTTTTGTAACAAGTACCCTTAATCTTATTTCTATAATCAGAATCCATAACTCAGGCAGCCTCAAACTACAGCCCGTGGGCCATATACATCCCGCTGAGGACATTTATCCGGCCCACTGGGTGTTTTTGCCACTGCTGCCTATCTTACAGCCGACTCGTCCCAGGGCCTGCAGTCTGGCCCTCCAACGGTCTGAGGGACAGTGAACTGGCCCCCTGTCTAAAAAGTTTGAGGACCCCTGCCATAACTAAGTAGAGAAACACATGCCTACAAAACAAAAGGGTTACAAATTGAACTGATGATGAGAAGAGAAGAAGAAATAAACATTCCATCTAGTAAAAAAAAAAAAGTATATATTGCCATCATATGAATCACAGACCCGCAGTTGTCTTCTGCTTTTCCCCACAGGAGATTGTGCCCTGCAGCCTGATACTTAGGGAGTGGCCCACAGACCAGCATGAGCACTGTGAGAAATGCAGCATCCCAGACCTATGTTTTAACAAAATTCTTAAGGGATTTGGATACACATTGACATCTGAGCTCTGCTCAGGGCTGTGTGGGCTTCCACTTTCCTGAGTACCTGTCCTCCAGCACAGAGAGGTCCCTGGGCTCCTTTGGGCAAATACTGCCCTTTTCTTTATGCTATGTATGCACTTCAGACTCACACCAACCTTGCATTTGGGTTCCTCTTATCCAAGTTCCTACGTTCTATGTCAAAACCACATTAGGGGGGTGATGATTTTCCTTAAACCCTGAAATTCCATTATGTAGAGGAATAGAAGAGAAGAATCTGAAGGTAGGGAATAATGAAATGCTAAAGCCACACATAAGATAACGAAAAACAAAAATGCTTCATTCCATTTGGAATACAAGAGGAAGAACAGTCTTCCAAATCTAAGAGTATTTGGAAAATCAAATGGAATCTTTCAAGAAGAAAATGTGAGGTGTCTGTATTTCATTTGCTGTTTTGTGCCTTAAAATGGAGAATTTCACCTGACAGTGTACATGTTCGATAAAAGTACCACTGACTATTTAAACCAGGAAATCTAGAAAGCTGCTCTGTCTCAGGGCAACTGGCCTATCTCCTTCTGGTCACTTCACTGATTTTGGCCCACAATGAAGAGAGAACACAAACCAATAATAGCTTGGTGATTTTGTCTCCCATAAATTTCATTCTACAGTAGCTGTTTTGGCAGATGACACCCCAGGAGGACTTTTCACTGCAATTCACAGATTTGTGTTTTTAATTAAGATCTGAAAAACCCATATTTGAAAGAATTCACACCTACATGAGAAGCTATTTTTATAACTCCATTAAGGTGTCTGTCAGTGGGAGTATGTGAACAACCGTGGGTTCCAAGCTCTGGCCGGGGATGTGGGGCACATGCGTGCTGTGATTGGACGGATAGCACCCACCTTTGTACTGATGGAGGTCAGTTAGGTTCTCCTGGTATGTGAGGATGATAGTCTGGTATTGGGTGACGATTTGGCGTCGGAGACTCTCCCAACAAGGGGACAGCTCCCCCAACTCCTCCAGCTCACACACTCTGCAAGCAAGACACACACATTAGGCATGGGGCTGACTTACTTCCAGGGAGGGGGAGTCCTACCCAGGAGAACAAAATGGACATGGATGTATCTCTGATGCCCAAGGTGGGCCAAAATAGTGGTTACTCTGCCAGTCTAAAGGCAACTGAGTGGGAGGTAAGGACAGACAGCTACAGACCACTGCCCATGTGGGAGAAGGTATGGAGAAGCTTTCTACAGAAACTTAGTCTAGGCTCTGCGCCTGTGGCTCAAGTGGCTAAGGCACCAGCCACATACACCTAAGGTGGCAGGTTTGAATCCAGCCCAGGCCCGCCAAACAACAATGATGGCTGCAACCAAAAAATAGCTGGGCATTGTGGGGGCGCCTGTGGTCCCAGCTACTTGGGAGGCGGAGGCAGGAGACTCGCTTGAGCCCAGGAGTTGGAGGTTGCTGTGAGCTATGAGGCCACGGCACTCTACCCAGGGGGACAGCTTGAGGCTCTGTCTCAAAAAAAAAAAAAGAAACTCAGTCTAGTGTTAAAGGAAACAGAGGAGAGATGTAGAAAAGAGAGATGTTGGTGAGTTGCTCCACCATGGTGCCCTGGCGACCCTGCTCAGGTGCCTGCTCAGCTACAGGCCAGAACCATAGGCTGCCTGGGTTCCAATGTGGACCTCCTGCCTGCCACCATGAGAACAGAGCTGCAGAATGTAAAACCACTCAGCTGCAGCCTAGAACTGGACCCTCAGCTCATGCTGTAGTCATGGCCCTCTCAGGATTGTCCTTTTCAGATATGGGACAAGGACCACAGGAGCTGGTACCTTTGGCTGTTCTTCCTTCTACTGCCTACACAGTAAGGAGGGGCCTGAATCTAAAACAGTCTTGCTGTGTCATTGCTGGTCAATCAGACAGGTTTGGCCTTGGCCATATCCTCCCCTGGCAGATGAAGAGGGGAGAACAAAGAAGAGGAGGAGGAAGAGAGAAAGAAAAGAGGAACTGCTATCTTCAGAAAAATAAAAGCTGTATAAGAACAGAAATATAAACTCCTTAGCTTAGCAATGAGTAATAGCTACATAATCATAATAGCAAAAAACATAAAACAGACTGAAAAAAGAAAAAAGGATAAACACACTAGGAAAATAATGGGGACTAAGAGAGCATAAAAGGCCTAAAATCCTCATCACAGGAAATTAGCAGCTAATCCTTGAAACCAGTTAATAAAAGAGAATACACATATATTTAGAAGTATAGCAGTAAACACTCAATCCACTAAAAAGTGATTGTTTCTGGGAAGTATGTTTGTTATATTTTTAGTTAAAAATCTTTCAGCACTATTCAGCTTCTTATACTATGCAGACGTTTTCCTTTGAGGGAAACAAACGAATTTCATAAAAGTTCTTGAGAATCTACTAAATTGCCTAAAGTTAAAAAAAACAAAAACAAAACTTGTGCCATTTTTTCATTATTAAAATAGCAAAATGAATGTAAAAGAACACCCAGTGCAGGGAGGGCTGTGGAGAAGCCGATGTCCTCGTCTGCTGCCAGCCAGCTGACCACTGGCCTCAGGCTGCCCCTGAGCATGGGAGCTCAGTCTGCCTCACAGCTGCTGGCCCCTCTCAGGAACATCTTTGCCCCTGTTTCATGAAGCTGCTCCCTACGCCTTGGTGTCAGCGTAACGTCACCATCTACCGAAGCCTGCTCTCATCACCCTCTCCCTTCCCACAGCTCCCCCTTTAATTTCCAGCAGAGGCTGACACATCCTGAGCTTCTGTGTGTGGCTCCCAGCTCTGTGTCTGAACGTCTCCCACAGTTTGTTGAGCTTGCCAAGAAGCCTCCCACACTAAGCCCAGTGCCTGATATGTGGCTGTTGCTAAAAACAAAACCCTTGAACTAAAGCACTAAAGGAGTATGTGAATGTACTCCTTAAAGTTGTAATATACCACATAATAGGAAATTGTGCCGTAATTAAGATGTAAAATATGAGCATGGAAGATCCATGGAAAAGGTGACTAGCACGATGTAAACATATACGAGTATGACGAAGCTGAAGGAAAAGCTTTCAAATACCTACATGTACATATACAGAGATAAAGCAGTTAGCAAGATATTAAGAATTGGTAGATTTAGGTGAAAAAAATTTGGGCACTCATTGCATTATTACCATTTTTCTTTATTTTTGAATTTTTTTTCTTTTGGTAGAGACAGAGTCTCACTCTATCGCCCTCGGTAGAGTCCCGGGGCATCACACTGCTCACAGCAACCTCCCACTCCTGGGCTTAGGCGATTCTCTTACCTCAGCCTCCCGAGTAGCTGAGACTACAGGCACCTGCCATAACGCCTGGCTATTCTTTTTGTTGTTGCAGTTTGAGCGGGGCTGGGTTTGAACCCGCCACCCTCGGTATATGGGGCCAGCACCCTACCCACTGAGCCACAGGTGCCGCCCCTGTTTGAATTTTTTTTTTTTTGAGATAAAAAATTAAAATAATGGTAGTAAAATAGTAGAATTCTGGTTGCCTTGTGTTCCTTCACGTCTCTGTTATGCTGTGTTTATAATTAACATCTTTTTTAGGAGAAAAAGCAGAAATGACAGCCTGAGACTGTAGTTTGAATGTGACCCCCAAGGTTCATGTGGTAGGAATTTAATCCTCAATGGAGCAGTATTATGAGATGGAACCTTTAGGAGTTTTTCTTCCTCAAAGGAAAGCCTTCATGAATAGAATAATGCCATCATCTCAGAAGTCAGCTGGTTATTACAGGATTAGGTTTATTATAACGGTGAGTTCAGCCCTTTCTCACGAGCTCTCTCACCATGCTATTCCTTCTGCCATGGAACGATGCAGCATGAAAGCCTTTGCCAAATGCCAGCACCATGTTCTTGGACCAACAAGCCTCTAGAACCAAGAGTCAAATTAAATTCTGTTCATTACAAATTACTCAGTTTCTGGTGTTCTGCTATGGGACCAGAAAACAAACTAAGATGAGACAGGAGACTCAGTCCACAGGACCTGAACCACCTGTCAGGTGTCTCTCTGCCTTAGTTCTATAAAATGTACCTGGGGCTGAGAGATGCAGAGGGGTTAAGACCCTTGCTCCATAGGAGCAGAGTGTCCTATGGGTCATGCTCAGTTTTCTGGAGCCCTCATCTCTGGCCCTAACCTAAGAATCCACTGACTAAGGGGCTACGTCCCCCAAACGACTCCAACTTTCTGAAGGACAAAAAAGAAGAGAAAGAAAAGGGTAAGAGAAGAGGTGCTGGGTGCTGGGCAGACATCTGGGGCTTCAAGCATTCTATCTTGTGAAATCCTTACACAGGAATCTGTCATAGAGAAGATCTGCAAGCCAAGGGCACAGTGCAGAGCCTGGGTTTGCAGGCCAGCCCACCTAATGCTGGAGTGCTGCCAACCTCGCAGAAAGGAAGGGGCACAAGACATGGCATGGGTGTGATGGGTGGTCCACCCCACCATGTGTCCTCACCTGGCCGCATCTTCTTCTAGCAAGAGCTTCACGAACTGCCGCGGCACGTGCAGGGAAAGCACGCTCTCTGCCATCTGCTCCAGGATCCGCAGGTGGTTGCCGTCGGTGGTTGGAAACCGGTACATGCGGCAGATGGCGCCACCAAACACTGAGGTGTGGCAATGGAGACAGGCTGTGTGTGAGCTGGCTGCAGACCTGCCTCATGGGTCTTCCTCCCCTGGCCCTCAATGAGGCTGACACCTCCAAGTCCTCTCACCATTCACTTCAAGGGAATTAAAACACTTAAACCAAAAACCCACCAAGCGCCTGAACTTGATTGTCCCTCTCTTGCAACGTGCAATCTTCTTGTCCCAGAACATGTAACTAACTCTCAAGTGTAAGCGGCTGGGGGCAGGGAGATTTCAGTCACTAAACTCAATGCAGAACGAAAGACTGAAACGAAGGCATGAAATGAAGGAGGCACCTGGCTTCCTTGGGTACTAGTAACTCTTCCTATGCCTCAAAAAGAACAGCACGCTGAGAAGCAGAGCTGTCGGAGGTGAGATTGAGGTGCACGGCTGTGACGATTACAGCAGGTGGGGAAAATGGGGGACAACGGGCCTGAGACGGACACTCACGAGAGTACCAGTGGGGGAAGCTGTTTACCTGATTTCAGCAGAGTGTCTTTTCTCAAGGAAGCATATTTGGAGCGGATTCCCAATGACTCAGTCAAGCTCTCATCAACAGGTAGAACCATCTAAGAACATGGACAGAAAAGCACAAGAAAACTGTGAGACCCAGATGGCTGCAAAGCACTCAGCAGCAACATGGCCTAAACACATCATAAAAGAACTCTTAAAACAAATACCCACCACGAACTCTATGATCAACATGCTGCCCAAGCCACAAATGCATCTACCTCCTGGTGTACTGACCATACTAGGTGCACACATAATATTCTAGATGTGTGTCTTCTTGCTCATTTCACCTGGTGTCTCAGTGTCCTCATGTACAAAATCAAAGGAAGGAAATAGAAGATGCTATGGAATATTTCCAGAGCTAATGCTCTAGGCTTATTTTAGGTAAGATGAGGTATCTCTGCATTTTACAACAATACTACTTCTCCATGTCGGGGCTCTTAAATGAGAATTCTCTGAGAGCATGAGAGTGACTGTGTGAGAATGTGCATAGATGGGGGAGAGAAAAGGGGAGAGGGAAAGGGTGCTGAGAAGGTGGGGTGCGAGGCACGGCACCCGCAGGGCACATGGGTCTGGACAAGGAAGACAATAACAAAACAGAACAGATGATCAGGGTCTCAAATGCCTCTCGGCTCATGCTCCACACCCCTCAGAATCCTGTCCTGGCTGCAGTTCCTCCAGCAGGGCTCTTGCTCACTCGCTCCTACCCTTAGGGGTAGCTAATGCGTGCCCAGAGCAGGCTCAGGCTGCAGGGCAGCAGAGCCTGGCAAGCCAGGAGCCTTTTCTCCCTACTGTGAGATGTGTCTGGGGAGAAATGGAGCATCTTGTGAGTGGCATGGGGGGTAACCAAGTAGCAGGCCCTGCCCTTCACTGAGCACAGAGGTTAAGTCCATGTGGACAGGACCTCTTGCTCTTTCTAAGAGAGAAGAGAAAGGTAGCCTACTGACCCTCCCGTTGACAGTGTCCACAGATCGGGTCACAGGGGGCCGCTGGTCTGATTTCTCCTCCATCTGCCAGCCAATAACAGTGATGTTGCCCACACGGTCACTCTCTGCAGACCTGCAACAAGCAACATGTTTTGATGACTAGTGTCGTAACTGTGACTCTTTTCAGCTTAAATGCAGTTCTGCCACTTTGGGTCCTCAGAGTTCCTGGGAACAGTGGGGGCCAGCCAACAAGTCAGCTAGGCAGCTCACTAAATGCACAGTCACCCTCCAGGGGAGGCAGACAAGGAAACCATGGGACACAGAGAAGGGCTGTGTCTGGGAGGGGACAAAGCCCCACAGAAAAGTGTGGCCATGCCAAGTGACATTGGGGAGGGCTTCCCGGAAAAGGGGCCAGTGCTGCTCCAGAGCTGCCACATGGGGACACATCTCTGAGCCAGAACTGAAGAGCACCTTTTCTGGCATCGGACCCCATTTTGTTCCTTCCCACTCTAACATTTTGATTATCCCCAAGGCCAAGGTCTGTGCTCCAAGTAACCAGCCAAGGCTTCCCGAAGCCTTGAATCCTGATACGCCATAGCTGATGCCACTCAAGCCCTGGTCGGCTTTGACCCTGAGATCCCTTGAAGTGGCTGACAGCTGCCTGGACAGTTCATCCAGGACAGTCTGAGGCCTTCTATTTATGATGTTCGACTTAGCCAGGTTCTAAATTTTTATGTGGTCACATCTACTTACCATCATTTCCTTTGTGAGTCTCTCATTATTCTCATGCTTAGAAAAGTATCCCTGTGCTATCTATTCATTATAGGTACTCCTCGGGTTACAAAAGAGATAGATTCTGTAAGTTTGTTCTTAGCTGAATTTGTATACAAGTTAGAACAGGTACATTTACCTATGACCTGTAACAACCCCCATTTGTAAGTGCAAGTTGTATGCCAGTTGGATGTTTGTAACTTGGGAACCATGTGTAGTCATATTTAGTCCCTTTTATGAAGGTCCATTTCACACATTTAACTCTGAGCCAACTAGAATTAATTCTGACATATGACATACCTAAATATTTTTCTCCAACAGCCTTTCCCTCACATGATCCTTCTTTCTTTACCTAAGATTTTTCCTTTTTCCTGAAATCAAGTTCTCCATACATGCATGCTAATGGCTGCTACAGGGCTCTTATACTGTTTGTTGATTGGACAGCTAAAGCCTGCAACTGTCATACAGTAGTTTTAGAATGGTCTGATATTGCAAGGACTTAATCTGCTTTGCCAAATTTTCTATTTTTCTTTTTCATTTTTTTGAGATGGGTCTCACCCTGTCACCCAAGCTGAAGTGGTGCACCTGCACAGTTATAGGTCCCTGCTGCCTCAAACTCCCAGGTTCAAGCTAGTCTCTTGCCTCAGCCCAAGTATCTGGGACTGTAGAGATGCACCATCATGCCTCACTACTTTTTTTATATTTTTTTGTAGAATCAGGGTCTCATCATGTTGGTCAGGCTGATCTCGAACTCTTGGGCTCAAGCAATCCTCCCTCCTTAGCCTTCCAAAGTGCTGCAATTATAGGCATGAACCAACATGCCAGGCCTTCTTTGCTATTCTGGACTCTTCCCAGATATTTTTCTACTTTTTATATTATTTTGAAAAACAACACCAAGGGGCAGCGCCTGTGGCTCAAAGGAGTAGGGCACTGGCCCCATATACTGGAGGTGGCGGGTTCAAACCTGGCCCTGGCCAAAAAAAGAACACCAAGTCAAGAGCTTTTTTGGAAACGTCCCCTAAAATGATCTTGGAAGAGTTGACATCTTTCATCTTTCCAGCCAGGGATAGAGTAGGGAGTTCCCCTTCATTCATTCATTCATTCCCTTAAATATTTATTGAGCAGTAGGCAATGTTCTAGGTCCTTGGAATACAGCAATGAAACAAAGCAGACAAAAATCCCAGCCATCTGGGAGATTACATTCTACTGGGAGGAAATAGGTAACAGGCAAACACATCTAGTACTATTAGATTTCTAGGCTTTTCTTTAGGCCTGATCATACCCGTGTTCCTATCTCCTACAGATGCCACAAATTTCCATTCCCTGATAGGCCCTCTGATAAGCTAATTGTTTTACTTTAATAAAGAAACACATCCCCACAGAAACTGGCTTCTGGGTGTGCGTTCATTATAGGAAAAGGGGCGTCTCCCCATCTGTTCCTATACCTCATAATTCCAGATCCTTTCCAAAGAATAAAATTAAATACCAACCTTAGTGTTAAATGTAACCTATGATGCCTGTCCTGGAGCAGATCTTTGACAATGAATGTTCCAGAGCCCAGTAAATACATCTGAGAGGAGAAGGGAAGAGAGACTGTATTAGTGCTCTGCCTTTGCCTCCGATACCATTACCATGACCCCAGGGAGTGTGGCTGGCCAGTGCCCACAACACATCTCACCCTCACATCAGTAGCCAACAGAGAAGCTCAGAAATTCCCAAAGACTAGTATGTCTAGACATGAGTTAATTTGTGAGCCAGCAGTCACAGAAGTCAACCTGGCTTTGCATCTCACTCAAACGATTACGTAACTTTACAAAAAAGGAAGAAAATCCCATGAACTGCAGCGTTACTTAACTGTTCCCTGAGATCTATCTTTGACATCGTATACAGATAGCTTGATTTGTGTCATCTGATTGATAAGAGAGTCTTGAAAGAAGGCAATGCTGCTCAGAAATATAGGATTGTTGGTTCCCTAGAACAGAGAAGGAAATAATTAGAAAACGAAATTGGATTTTTTAAAGTACTTGCTTTTGAAATACACCAACATTTTCAGGATAAGAAACTAAAGTTCTAACAGAATCAACACAAATGCTAATGGCAGCTTAAACGAATGTGTACAACTGAAAAACTGCCTTCTAAAAGAAGAAAATGTAGTCTGACATAGACTGTTACACATCCAGATACAACAAGACTCACTGCACAAGCTGTGCCTGAGTGCTTCTTTCTGAGGGTTTCACACTCAGTGGGAGGAATTTTCTAAAATTGAAATGTGAATGTCCCTTTGCATTCTTAGTTTACAACTAAAGGTGCAGTATGTATTTGGACCTACTGCTTCGGGATGCTCCTGCAAGACATACAAATGGGCAGATGAAAGAGGAAATGAATGGCTCTAAGTGGTTTATTACGTATTTCTAGAAGCCTGTGTTTGGAATGATTAAAGCCTGACTTTTTTTAAGCTATCCTTTTTTTAGGGCCAGCTGCTAGTTTCTAGATCATAGGTGGCTATTTCCTGGCAGCTTAGCCCTGCCCTCAAAGTCCCACATTCTCTTTCTCAGACAATGGTTAACGTCCTTAACCAAACTGTTTGAGGTTCCTATTGTACTTGCTGTGGGGGGGGGTGGGGTCCCTGCCTCTGCCCAAGTTCTCTCTCTACAGCCCCAAGCTGAGTCCATCAGTGCTACTGGACAGCCCCTCCTGGGTGGCCTGCAGAAGCCTCAACCCAACTCAAACTCTCCCCCCACTTGCCCTTGGTTAAGGCCATCTCTGACTTTCTTTCTAAGCAGGCTAAAAGCTTAGGTGCCATGAACTCCTCCTGCAAGTTCTACTTCCAGGCCTAGCTCACATGCACTTTACTCCCTCCCACTGCCAAAGTGGTCTTGCGTTATACCCCAAAACAACTGTCTGAGTTAGGACATCAGATGAGGGGACTGCCATGCACAAAACTCCACAAGGCCTGTGTTGGCCTGATCTTCAAAGTGTCCTGTCCTTGCTTTCCTGTTTGTGCCTTTCATACACACTGATCAGGGTGCAGCTGGGCCCCAAACCCACATGCTGCTTTCCTGTCATCACACCTTTGCAGAACTACCTCAGAACTCGGGTAACCTCCTCAATGTGTAGTCACCAAACTGGCCACATGGGCACCCCCTGGGAGCTGCAAGACTCCAGACCCACTGGAGCAGCACCTCCTGAAGCCCTACCCTAGCAAGACTGCCCTGAGAGCATCCTGGGGCTCTCCTCCTCTCTCTAACACTTCCCACACTCTGCACGGGGCCAGCCCCATTCACTTCTGCCTCCCCATCTATAGGCCGGCCAACTCCTCAGGGGAGGAACTGGGTCCCAGTGGTCTCTGTATGATTCAGTGTCCATTACTGTGTAAGCAGTGTTCAATAAATGCTTAGAAAACAGAATCGCCATCTTGAACTTAAAAACAAGTTTCTTAGTAACTAAAAGAGTGAACTAACTTTTAAAATGCACAATTGGAGAGGAAGAGAAAATGCAACTTGTTTGATAATTCTTCACATTACAAATAAAACCCTGAAGAATTTCATGCTAGCAACTCCTACACTTAGTGTCATAGCTTACGTAATATGCTCATTTACCTAAGAGGGTTTTTATAGAATTCCTCTGATGAATGTGTATCATTTAATTTAATATAAGGAGTTGAATACATACCATAAAAGTAAAAACCAAACAAAAATAGGGGTATGTCTGGGCAAGAGGGTTGGTTAATATACTTAACACTCTTCTAAGCTTTGATTAATGAACACAACTCTCCAAAAGTACCAGCCAATTGGAGGTGACAAGGAGGAATTAGGTCTTCCTTTTTAAAAGGCAATCACCTTTATGGAATCACTGTTCAAAAATAACTAGCCAATATTTATGAAGAGTTACAAAGAATGTGGCAAATATAAATGCCACCAAGATGAGTGTGATGAAAAATATTGATAGACTATAAACCCCCGGGGAAACAGCAACAACTCACATAAATATAACTGCAGCCACAGATGTTCAGGTAACTAAACAGACCTCTCATCAGGGCTAGCAGTACCACTCAAACCTGTCTCAGGGCTCCCACAGAGAGGGACCAGCCACACCCACCTCAATGATCTCCGTCTGTGCGTGCTTCGTCCAGAATGCCTGAGGAGGGGTGGTTACACTCACTGCCACAAAACTATTTGGTTTTCGATCTAGCGATGGAGTATGCAGCTCGCTGCAAGCTATAGAACCAAGAAGCGAAAAGACATGAATCCTTTAAAACCAGGTACCTATTAGTTTTCTATTCCAAACACCCAAAGAAAGCCTGAAGAGTAAATGACATTCTAAGAGATGAGATGATCACATTGTTGGTTATCACAGAGAGGTGATTTTTAAAATTGAAACAAATCTCTCTGACTCCCCACCACCACCACCCTCCCTGATAGCAATGCCATACTGCAGTGGAAGGCTGCGTTGAAAGGGGGTTTCTGTGTCCATGGAATGGAACACAAAGTCAACAACCTTGTATGGGGTCTGAAAAGTTCGACCTCAATAACTAATTAAACTTTAGTCAATTGAGCTAACAGCCACAGGTCTATAAATGAGAAGAGCTGCACATGCCTGCGTCCTATGATTCAATGGCTAACTCTAAGCTTATGTTGCCCCATGTGTCTTGGTGTACAGATGGATGTACACTAGAAGAAAATTAAAATTTTATTGCAAAAGAACAAAGCCTCTTTAAATTTTATTTTTTATTTTTGGAGACCA